AATTAATAGAAATAGAAAATTCATTTGTTTACTATCAATTTTCTTCAATTCAATCTATTTTTTACAAATTAAAAAGATTAAAAATAAAATCTCAATTATTTGTAATTAATTAACTTACAGTATATTATATAATGCATCTTTTATAATAAATTTCATAAATTTTGATAAAAAAATTTTAAAAAAAATAAAAGAAAAACAAATTTCTAATTATATAAGAAAAAAGAAAAAAATTTGTTAAAAGAAGCAAATGTAGAATTTTTCAGTAGATAAAAAAATCTTTTAATCAAGATACTTTATTTTTCAAGTTTAAGTTTTTTAGTTTCAACTTCTTATTGAAATTATAAAAAAAACATACATTTTGAAATGTCTTTCATTTTTTTTTTAATCTTTCTATTTCTAATTTTAAAGTTTTAAATCTTTTTTTTTAATAAACTTGATATTTCAAGACTTTGATCTTTTTTTAAAACAAAATTATAGTTTTCCAGAATGAATTCCTAGAATCAAAGTAAGCTAAGTAAGTATTTCTTAACAAACAATTTTTTCTTGGTATTTTTAGAATAATTTTAAGTTAATAATTATCTACTTAATAATTTACAAGAAAATTTTAAGTATACAATATAGTGAAATTTGTTAGAACTTTAAAAATATTTATAAAAGTTTATAAAAAGAACAGTTGTCCTAAACAACTTGCTTTATTTTCAAATTTGAATATTTTAAATATATAAATCTCAAAAATATAACTGATTATACTAATTTAATTAAAAACCTCCTATAAGATACTTCTAAAAATATAAATGTTATATCAATTTCTTATAATATTTTGTAAAGTATCAAAGTATAACTTTTCATTATCTCTTAAATATACTTATTATTTGAAAAAACTTTTGAAAAATATTTAAAGTATTTTCAATAGAAAATATTATATATATTTAAATCCTCAAATTATTACTTACTATTTCAAAGCTTTTATTTGTACTTATAATATTTTTGCCAAATTAAAAATAGCACAGATTTATAAAATTCTATAGTATTTACAACTTTATACTTTATCTATTTATTGTTTTTTTTTTTTATAGATAAACATTATTTCTTTATTTGATTTGTATATAGCAAGATATTTTTTTTCCTTCAATCAGGTTGGTATTGTTTATTTATTAAATCAAGATAAACCATTACAAATATAAATTGTATATATAAATTTCCTCGACCTAGCTCACCCATTTGTAACAAAGAGTCTCTAGATATGATTTATGAGGATGATATATTGCTCATCCATTAATTAGGATTAAAATCCTATTTGTTTAATAGAGTCAAAACCTGCAGATCATCTCTATGGATTGTATATAGCAAGATATATATTGTAAAAGAAATAACATCTCTTATATATTAATACAATAAGTTAAATGGTAACTTGCTTACAGTAACCATATAACTAATATTAAAAAGAAAGTTTAAAACAATATATCTTGTTATATAATACCAAGCAACTATGGATACCTACTCAATATTAGAAGAAATAATACTTAATAAAGATGAGATTAATTTTGAATACATTTGGAAAAATTATAATTACATTGGATAAAAAAGTTAATAACTATTATAAGAAGATTGATAATAATTTTATTTTGAATAATATTAGAATGTGAGTTTTCTGTAAGATTAGTATAGTTTTTTTTTGACTTGATTAGATTGGCAATATTCAGTAGTTTGCTTGAGTTTCACTTAATATCAATAAGAAGTGATGTATTGGCAGTATTACAGTATGGTTTTCAAATTGAGTTATATAGTTGGACTAAAGATTCTATTGATATCTTGATTCAATTGATAGTATCTGTTGTGAAGAAGATTTTGTTAATTATTTCATATGACAATTCTACTACTTGTCAAATATAAGAAATTGATTTGAGATTATTGTTTGAGTAAAGGATTTGATTAATATTGTTTATAATTTGACTGGTCTCTTCTGAGACTTCAAGATATTTGAAGATATGTTAAATGTTCTCTGTATAGAGCTTATATCTTGAACAGTAAGTACTGTATTTGGATATTAATCAAGGTGGTATTAATAAAGTATTTGATGAGTTAAAAGGGTTTCTGAAAGTAGTTTGATTCTGAATGCTATTAGATTACTATAGTTGTTATTGTATATTTTTTTAATGTTTTTGTTAAATTTATTAATGACTTTTAATTCATGCAAAGTGTAATGTTATTTAAAGGTTTGAAAAACTAAAAAGCTTTCACAGATTATATAGTTATTGATAATATTGAAAATTTTTTTGCATTATCTGACACTACTGCCCAGATACAAATTATTGATTAAAGAATTTTCTAAAAAGTATAATAGAAGGTTGTTTTATTGGATTTTTTTGGCTATATATGGTTTGAATTTTAATTTGATATATATAACTTTTATCGATTTTGATTTTACTATTTGATTATCTTTTGAATTAAGAAAAAAAAGCCAATCTTTATTATTTTTCTAAGATAAATTAATACTGGTTAAAAGTTTTTTCTGTTGTTTTTAATTTCAATGGTATTGCATATATAGCTTCACTGAATAATATCAAGTATTGCAAGTAGAAAATTGTCAGGAGTCAAGTAGATATTAGTAAGTTTTACTTTGTATTCATTGATAATTAAATATATGATAATATTAATAGGAATCAATTTTTTAAAGTGTTAGTTGAGAGAAAAAGTTGTTATTGATGTTAATTGTTTAAAGAATGTGTTTGTTTTTATATGGTGTATTAATAATAAGGTTCCTAATGATATTACTTTGATACTATTTTGATACCAGTTTGATACTTAAATTTATTATAAAAATATATAAGTAGATCACAATCCATATATTAAATTTACTATAGATCAGTATCATTTTAATACCAGTTCAGTATTTTTTAGAGTTCTAATTGATAATTTTATCAATTATTTAATAATTGATACCTTATTTATTTATTGTTTTTTGGAGGATGCTTCTCCTATAAGTAAATATTACTTCTTTATTTAATATTGTATATAATAAAGTATTTATTGTTAAAGAAACAATATCTCTTTCATTATTTCAATAAAGTTTAATGCTAGCTTACCTACTTAATCATTATCTAATTAATATTGTAAAATATTTCAAAAGCAATATTATAGTGCTAGATAAAGCTGAGTAGTAACTATATCTATCAACTTAAAAAATTTTATAAAATCTTTTGATTTTTTGAATATATAATAGTTGAAAAGAAAATAAATGGAATTGTAACTAAAACTGTGTTAAGTAAACTATAAAATCTATAAGTAAAAAACCAATTATTTTTTCAAGAAAGCCTTCAAATAGACTCGTAGTCCTATCTCTTTAGCTTTTTGGTTACCATATATAATAAAGTATATATGAAGTTATTTGTTATTATAGTTGTTAGTAGACATGTAATTAATGTTATTGTTGTAATTGTTGTTGTAATACAAAACTAGTTTGAACAGGTTTAATTTTTGTTTTGATTTTTGAATGAAATCTGATTGGATAATTGAAAAGTGTTGATCATCTGTAAGAAGGTAAGCTGATTTTTGTTTTTTGGCCAGGAAAAAATATTGAGGAATTTGGAATGGTATAGTAAATATCACCATGATAAAGTAAAATTTATAAGTTGACTTGAAACAAACAATAGACCTACTAATTCTGTTTAAGTATATATTTTGAAAAATATTTGTTTTAATAAATATGATAGTAATAATATGAATGGTTTTTATAATAGAATAAGATAAGAAAAAATGCAAGAAAACAAAAAAATAGAGAATCACTACAGATTTTTTTTATGTAATCAAAGAATAAGCAAGACTTTCAAACTTGAATAGACTTTGACCAGAAGTTCTATCCCACTACATCAGTTATCTTGAAGATTTATAATCTTATAAATATTTTTGAATAATTATTTAATATTAATATATATATATAATGGTTTTAATATTTATTTTTCTTATTGCTTAAATGGTTTATATAAGCAAGCTAACATTAAACTTATTAATTTAACAAGTTATATAAAAAATATTATTTTTTTTATATATAAACAATTTACAATTACGTAATAAAGAAATAATGTTTGTTTACAAAAAAATATTATTATTTAAGTATTATATAATATTTGAGTAAAATTAATAAATAAACCTTTTAATTAAGTTTAAAAATAATAAGTTTTCTTAATTTTTATATAATTTTTATACAATCTAATAAAATTTTAATATGTTATATCTTAAAATTTATTAAATACATGAGAAAAAATTAGTATAATATTTATTTATTTAATCTTAAATAATATGTATTTAAAAAATGTTCCCAATATTATGATTTGGGATTGTAGGTTAAATAATTACTATAAGCAAGCTAGCATTTAATCCATTACAAATGTAAATAAGTGATATTATTTTTTTAAAAAAATATTTATTGCATTTTGTGATATATAAATAAATATAAAGTATTTTTGAGTAATTTTAACTTACAGGTTTTCAAAAAATTTTTAGATGTAAACTCAATAAATTTAGATTAATATCGTTGTCAATTTTTAACTTGAAAATATTAAACTTACAAAAAAGATCTTAAATATGAATTTTATTAAATTGCTTGATAACATAAATTTGCTAAAACTTTATTTACAATGATCATGTCCGTTGGTATAATGTGTAGGTATCATAAGCACCTACTATTAGGGTGTCTTTATTACTACATAATAAACGGTTAGCTGTTAACTAAAATACTTATGTATACAAATATCCTAATCGGAAATAAATGTCATTATGCAAATAATAAGTAAATTAGATTCACAAGTCAAAAATCCTATCAGATTGTCTAATCTCTTGAATCTAATTTTAATTTTTAGATGAATGCAAATAAAAATGATTATTCTATTCTAAAAATTACATATGTAAAAGGGGAGATTCTAAACTAATCACAAACCGCCCAAAATTGATAATGATACAAGTGTTTTAATTTATGCAATAATCAACAAGGATTGAATAAATTATTTTAAATTCAAATTTCCGTGTGAAACTTGAGGTCTCAATTGTCTTCGTTGATTACTTCTATTAGATCCAATAAATAAATCGTCAGCAGCTCTAGAAGAAGCTTGTTTGTATGAAACATCAGTTGGAGGGGTCAGGTGCTGGTTTGAATTCGGTGAGCTAACTACAGGTGATCTAACGTTCTTTTGAAGAGGACCGGTCCCTATAGGTTTGATGTATCATGAGAGGTAAGACGTCATTTTAAAATTATGTGCACAAATGTATAGTGATAATAATAACAATAATATAAATAGGCTTACTTGGATCAACGTTTTTATGTCCTCTTATTACGTTTTTAAGCCCCGATAAAGCACATCTGAGTTTATCGAGCCACTCTGCTTTCTCCTTTGCGGTTTTCGCTCGAACTGTGTGTCTTGCCTCCCCTGCAGGCGACATGGTGACTATCTGAAAGCAAAATGGTTTATCGGCCGCATCATCGGCAATGTCCACCACCGAAGCACGATTTAAATCTATATGTCCTTTAAATCTAAGCTTTCCTTGAAATTCCGAGCAAAACATGAGCAGATCGTTAAATAGAAAATGTATTCGTATTTCCTGGGTCGCTATAAATAGTGGCTTCGCTTGTAAAATTTGAGGAGTGACTTTATACAGTATACCCTCATGAAGGAACCTTCGAGCTGGATTTACTATATTTCCCGCCAAACCCTCAATTTTGTATTGGATTTCTAGTACTTTTTGCTGATTTTCGACATCCCGAATTCTATGAAATGCATAGATTTCATGGTTATCAAATAGTGTCAGATAGAATGAATTAGATCAGATAAGCAAAAAGTGAATCCTAACTTTTCGTTTACTTCATCGGCGATCTCCGTAATTTGCCGGAAGCATTTCTGGAGATTTTCATAATCCGGGTGAGATTCGTCGGTGTGTTTTATCAAGGCATCTAGCAGCAATTTATACCGCGGTATTCGCTGTATAGGCAAGCTCAAGAAAGAATTGAAAGGCAAATTTCCCAATTCCGGCCTCGCTTGACAAGACTACCAAGGGTTTTGAACATCGCGTAGCGATAATTAGCAACGGAAATTTTCAAGGAGACGTCAAAAGTTGTCACATACCTGGAGAAATTTTTTAAAATCTTTATTTTCTTTATTGAGACGTTCCAAGAGGTTTATCGCGTGTGGGAAAGATTGCAAATAAGTGGTATACATTTTCAGGAAAGGTGCCTGATTAACATTAAAAAAAAGTTTAGCATATTTCTAAAACAAATGTATCACCATGAGTAGATAGATAACTTACAATTCGCAAGAACACATCACTAATAATTTCCGTTGAGCTCCACTTTGACATCCTAAGTTAGATATGGACATTTTAATTTCCATAAGAAAAAAATTACAATCTCGAGATTTAATTACCTTTCTTCCAATGACTTGAGCAATTGTTCGTGCAAACTCAACAACGGGACGATGTTACTAAATATAGAGTTAATCTCTTCTGTGGAAGTTGTGGTCTTCGAAGATAATAGACTGGACTTTTGATTAAGCTTAAAATTTTCTTGTAACGGCAACAAGAAAACATTCACAAGTTTCCTCAAACCGTCGACGTACGTTCGTTCGGTTGTGATTATTTCTGAAACAGCAGCTTCGCGCTTGCGATTTTTTACTGCAGGATCTAGAAAATTTTCATCATGTTAGCCATTATTCCTCGATAGACAATTGCGCGTATACAATATGATTCTTATGTAAATAGAAAATACCTTCGGGTGATTGATCAGGATTGTTGGCATTGATTTTAACTTTTGACATCGTCTCTGTACTCTTGTCATCGGAGTCACAATAGTGATCGATAAAATCATGAATTTCGGTAAAATCAGAAGTCTCAAAATTATCATTTATTTTGGGCAGCTCTAGTGGAACTGGAAGTTTTAATTGACCATCGTGCGTATTAGATCGTATCGGGATAATTTTGTTTGTTTTATTGGGATTTGCCGGTAATGATTTGTGATTTCGAACTTGCGAGATGGGATCAATTTGAGGAACGGGGGGACCATTTAAAGATTTATCTTGGTTTTGATTCGGATAATACTGGTGAGAATTAAACGAATTTCCTTGCATAAAGTGATTCTGTGGATGTACAGGAGATAACCGTGGGGAGTGAGAAGTCAAATTTACATATGAACCATTATTGCTTTGTGGGCTCGCAGGGGATAACCGCGGAGAATGTGCAATAGGCGAGTGACCGTTGTATTGAGATAAAGATGGAGACAATCGTGGAGAATGTGATGCTGAATTTGTATACGAATAATTATTCGGTAGGTGAGCAGGATGTAATCTTGGGGAATGGGATGGTGGTGGAGTTTGTTGCGGAGATGGAATTCTTTGAGGGGTTGAGGCATTATTCGTTTGAGCCGTGCGATTAAGTAAGGTGTTTGACGGATATTTTTTCAACTGAGGAACTGGAGGTGTATCAAATTTTCTGTTAGATTGCGGTGGTGGGCCATGTCCATTGTTGTTATCATGGAAAGTTGGTTCTTGCTGTAGGAAAGGATATTTTGGTGTTGTTGGTTTATAATCGGCGGAATTATTATAATCTTTTGGTAAGTGATGTGCTTGATTATCGGGAAAACCGTGATCATCGAACTCGTCCCTTTTCTCAGAAAGGGAAGGTTGCATTGGACTCAAAAAATCATATGAATTCCAATCATCCAAAGTATCATCCGACTTTGAGCTATATATAGAACCATGATGGCTCATGTAACCCGAGTCGCCTCGCGACATTAATTAGTTGTACTTTTCGTAGTCTAATGGTAACTATTCGGTGAGTGAATGGAAAGAACATGAATGCAACCATCAGACAGCAAATTGCCCAAGACTAACCTTGATGTTTTTAAGGTATAATTATCGAGGAAACAAGTAAATATAAGGACATGCACATGATCTCACCTACGGATAGACTGCTACGTTATCGTGTAATTCGAAATGCAGTACAAATGCATAAATATACCTAGAAAGCTTCCTTTATTATAGGTTGCACTCCTTTAAGAAAAAATGGTTGACAAGACTTACCAGTAAGATCGAACGGTGGTATATACTCTCAAGTATAAATTACGTTTCGAGTGTGTGTTTCCGGAAGAAAACTGAGATGACAAAATCCGAGGTTGAGTACTAAACCAATATAAAAAGCTTACTAAACCAATGTAAAAACTTACTAATATATTGTAGTTGCTTACTTAGGAAAAGAGCTTGAAAAATATCCAACCTTTTTTGTGACAATAAAGGAAAGTGGGAGATATTTGTGGGTCCGACTTGAGTATTGAAAAAAAAAGTGAATAAACCTGTGTTGATTATTTTTGGCGAGAAAACTTGATAGATAGATTCTATAGGACTATGTGAAATCGATAAAAAAGAACATGAATTGATGCATTTCTGCTCAACGTCACTCACCAGCTTAAAGGCGACAGGACAGCAAAAAAATGGACTTAAAGATGTAACAGAAATATATTTAAAGTTGAATGCATTTATCAAAGCTGATGTCGCACGAGCATTGATTGCATTTACGCGAGATGCGAGTCGTGCAGCTTTCTGGTTGCCCATGAAAAACCATGCACAAATAAACATACGTAATAACGCGGTTGTACAATTATTTGGAATCTTTTCTGAACCTACGTACACACAATATTTTTCGTACTCACTAATTAAAGAATTTCCCGACTGCCCAAAATATTTTTCGATACATGGAATCTTCGACACAATGCTATTCGCAAAACTTTGCATCGACTATCTAGACTGTCACAAAATGAATTGACTCGATATATTGTTACTGCGCATTTGCCAAAAGTTTGCTTATGATTCCATGTATTATTGGCTTGGTGTTTGGAGAGTTAGTGTAGTGGTACAATGCAATTTCGCAAGTGTCCGATGACAGTTTAATAGATTATGTAGATTATGTAGTTATGTAGATATACACACTCCAGGATGGTGTTACGCCTTTTAGCATAAAAATCGCCCATTGAAACATCCTCTGTCATTTTTATATCCAAATATTATTGCATAGAAAAAATCCCTAAATTTAACTAGAATTGATCGTGTACGTATGAAAAATATAGGCGTGTCTAATCTGACGCAGTTAACTTAGAATCGACGTAAAACAAGCAAAAAATTCGATACACTTTCAAATAATGTGTTGACTTTGTATTATTTCTATTTTAAGACATTTTTATATTTTTAATATACTGTATTGCTTTTCTACTCTTGCCTATTATGTATATACTGTATTTCTTTTTTTTAAATAATAAAAAAAAAATTTGTTTTTTGATAACTAGAAATTTATATCAATTAATTTGACATTTAATTTAATAATACAATTTGTAATGTTAATTCTCTTTAATAAAAAACATATGGTATACTGTATATACTGCAATTTAAAATTTAATAAAATATTCAAATGTGATAATTAGAATTAATAATAATATTTATTTATTATAACAAATACATACAATAAAAAAATTAATTTTATTTTAAATTATCATTATATTGTTGATCTTAAATCTATTACTTTTTTTATAAATAAATATGTTTATTTATTTAATATAAGAAATAATACTGTGATTTATAATTTTTTAAAATTGTTTTTTTTTTAATGTAACTTTATTAATAATTATTTAAATATTATAAAAAATTTTTTTACTATTTTTATAATTAAAATTTATATTTAATATAAGTTGACAAATATTGATAAAACAGATTTATTAAAGTTTTATATATGAGTTATTATAAAAATACAATATAGTTTTTCGAATTTTTTATAAAAAAAATTATTTTTTAAAAATTATTTTAGTTTATTACACAAAAATTATTTTTTTAATACAAATTTTATAAATTACTTGTTTATAATTTAAAAAACAAGTTTATTTAAGTTTATCTTATAAAATATCTTAATAAAAATTTTTTAAACTATTTTTAAATATATAAATTTTAACTTATTTTTTTTATAAAAACTTTAAATCTTTGAAAGATTAAATTTTATATAGATATATATAAAATATTTTAGTTATTTTTTATTTATTTATTTAAAAAAAGATGTAACAATAAAATATATTTAAGAATGTTATTTTAATCTTTAAATAAAGTAACTAATAATATTATAATTATAAAATTATTTTGTTTATACTTAAAAATTTTTAATAAAAAGATTTTATTCTTGACTTTACAAAAATATAAATATAAATAAATATAAAAATATATATTATATGGCTGATTCTTTTTGAAAATGACAAAAATGTTATATATGATTTTTTGATCCCTATTTTTTGAACAATACACATACAATATAAATTCTAGAAGTACAATTATAAAGTCAGAAAAATCCCTGTCTGCCTTCAAAAAAAAATTACCCATATAAAAAAAACAACTCTTTTCTACTTTTCTCAAATGTTTAAAAAAAATTTTTTTAAGAAATTTTTGAGTTTGTTTTTTTTTCTTATTTTTTCTTTTTTTCTTTTTTCTTAATCTTTTTCTTTTTTCTTTTATTATTATTTTTTTCTATTTTATAAATTTTTTCTTTAACTTATTCTTTTTTTTTCTATCAAAATTAAAATTTTTTTTTCTTTAAAGATTTTTTTCTTTAGATTTTACTTTCTTTTTAAAATACTATATATTTTATTATCCTTTAGCTAATAAATTTTCTTTTCTCAAAAACTATTAAAAAGTAATAACTTTTTTTAAAACATAAATTTGAAAAAATTTTTTTACTCATAATTTTTAAAAAAAGAATAAACAATTTATTTTTTTTAAAAGATTAATATAATAATTATTAGAATTTTAAAAAGTATCAAACTGATATTAAAATAGTATTAATTTATAATAAATTTAATATATAGGTTGTAACTTACTTATATTAATTTATAATAAATTTAAATATCAAAGTAATATCAAAATAATATTATTAGAAGCTCTAATTATTATTATCAAATTCAATATTATTTATCAATTAATAATTAAACTAGATATATTCAAAAAACTATTGTAATTATAATTATCTGAAAATACTTAAAGTGTTATATCTTACAGTATCAAAAATAAAATAATAATTAAGATTAATATAGTTAATATTGCAAATATCATACTAATAATTGAAAAATCTAATAAGGTAATAAGACCTGTATGTCTATTATGTAGTAGTTAACATTCCACAGGTCAAATCACAAGATACTAGTTCAATCCCATGTAAGAGCAGTTGAATAGAATTAATATGGTATCTGACGTTATAACCTGTAAAAAGTACTGTTTCTTATGAGAAGCTATTTTATATACTAATTCAATGGGTATTGAGATTGTGATTTCCAAAAAAGGTGTTATAGCATAACGATCATCCAGTTAGTGTTATAATGATTACCAGAAGTTGCAAGGTATATGAGATGTCTGCTTTCGATAAGTAGGTTTGATAATCCCTTTCCCTAATATCTGGTATTTTTTACACTGATCCTTATCCTAGTCTTATCCCAATCCAATAATAAAATGATCTGGTGGTACTTATCCCAAGAAGGCTTCTAGCTATAAGTCCTGTTCCCTGCAATATGTAAGTTAGTGTTCAGGCAGTAAGCACTAGTTATAAGTATCTTGAATATTCTTAAGTATTATTGGACAGGTAAGAAATTAAATAGTTAGCTTAGCTATAGATAGTGGTAAAGAGATTTATCTTCGATGGAGCAAGCAATGATTATATAGCTTTATTTGCCATAGATATTATTCCTAGTGCCCCTTTTCAAATTCCCCTTAATCTTTTTCCAGTTAAAAATAAAGCTGTCTGATTACTAATAAAAATACATGTTATTGGTTTGACAAAGGTATACCTTTGTTCAGTAAATTAACATCTATATCTAATATAGTTAGGAACAAGCTACAGCAGACATCATTATTTGAAGTAATCCCGATAAGTGTTGGGTGTAACTAACAACTAATACATTATAGCATAGTCCTAGATAGTAATGTCTAAAGATATATGTAAATATCATTATGAGGAATAAACATTCAGCCAGACAATTATCGCTGGTACACTTTAAAAAAAAAAAAAAAAATCTAATAAGGTAATATATAAAGACTAAGAATTTTAATTACTTTCACAAATAACAATACAAGTTTCTCATTTATTATTAACAATATAAATCTATTATATTAGGTTAAATAATAATACTTATAAAAAATTTTAATTTTACTCCAAGTCCAAACATTTTTTTAACAAATTACTACTTTATGTTCAAATATTTATTTTATTTTTCTTTTGCCTAATACTTGAATTAAGTTTTATTTAAATACTTAAATAATATAGCTTTGTATATAAAATATTTTATAAAGAGTAGCTATTCTTTTCTTAACTTGAATCAAGTTTGATTAGTTTAAAACAGTTCTAGAAAAAATCAAAGAGATCAATTCTAAATGTATTAAATGAAAAATCAATCCCTACTAATAGTATCTAACTAAAAAAACAATTATTTAATTATTTGAGCAAGTTATACAACTGAGATATATAATAAAAAAATGCTTTGTTTATTATACATTAAGTTACATTTGAAAAACAAATATATTAATTTTAATTATTACTTGAAGATTAATTTGTATATAATAACTATAGCACCTTTATATAATTAAATAATTAACTACTCTATAAAATTATTTCATTATATAGTTCAGTATATAATTTTAAAAATTTTTGAAAAAAAACTCTCTTCTAATTGTATCTGTTTTGTTAAAAATTTTCCTTTTATAATAATTTTAAGCAA